AAAAATGAATGATTGCACGAGCCAGACGAAGTGTTTGATCGTGAGGAGGAGTGTTAAATCTCCCACATCGGAAACATTTGGATGAACAAAGTGTTATATTAACACATGGGCTACTCCTCCTATCAGGTTGACCTTTTAGGATGGAACTCCGTGTCTTAACATGTCTGCCTTCTAACTTTTGAACTATTTAAAAAATCTCTAAAAGTTTCTAGTTGTATGTTTGGAATGAAAACTTTTAAAGACCTTTGCAAAAAATAAAAGAATTTTTTTGGGATGCTACATGGAGTAGCATCTAAGAAAAGTCAGTGAATTTTAGTATTAATCAGTTCTAACAGTATGTATACCAAACAAAACTAAATCAAACTATTGGTTTTTTACCAATAGCTACCACATTTTCTTTTTAAGATCTTTTCAATCATTAAAGGCTAACAGTTATTTAAATGCTCACAAAAGTATGTTTTCAGCTAGTTATGTCAAACATACCCTAGTGTCATATTGCAATAATATTATTATCAGATCGAGCTAGATTAAGTTGGCATTGTTAATACCATAACTGAATATATTATCTAAATATGATCAGTATTACACCTATTTATTAAACTAAAAACATACCTAATCATACTTAGAGAGTTTACTTTACTTTTAAACTTTTTAATGACAGTTTCTGCTAGCTATAATTGTTGAAGTCTCATCACATGCCGTGTAAGGTGTCAATAGAAGAATTTGGCGAAACCGTTAGATAACCAATGATAGCCGCTTAGCAAGTTGTTGGAGAAGTTATATAAAAATGAATAGAAGATAGCTTTGTTTAATCTGAAATGTAATTTAGTTCAAAATGTTGGTGAACTTCGAAAAACAAAGAAAATTAATTAATTGAAGGGGAAATCGTATATATGGTCCCTTAGTTATTCACGAAATTAAAATCTCAAACTTGTATTTCTGAGATTGTAAATGTCACCCCTTAATTGTCCGAATTGTTGTAAATGTGGTCCTTTAAGTAGTGAAATGTATTCTCGCCCACATTGTATATTTCACCCCTCAAAAGGAACACATTTACAACATTTTGGACAATTGAGGGGTGACATTTGCAATCTTAGAAATACAGGTTTGAGATTTTAATTTCGTGGATAACTAAGGGACCAATGTGATTTTCCCTAAATTGAAAATAGCCAAAGAAAAACAGACACAAGGGACAGAATAGTTAAAGCTTGTGTAACGCACAATGTTCTTAAAATGTATTCGCTGCCTCCCACGGTGCTAGGAGCGTCGCAGCGATAGTTTCCCAGGATACGGTGGCTACGAACAACCGTTTGAGCACACAATAGGTTGTTCCGGCGAATGGAAACAAAGGTCAAACACCAAAGGAACTTTCCAGGGAAGTGGAGGTGTTTTTAGCTCAAGAAATACGTGCAAACTGTGTTTAATTTTCGTGTGTTGTTGCAAATCATCCGCCAGCTATATATAGGGACAAATTTGCTGAGTGCTAACTGACCTTTAATGGACCTGAACGTTGGAGTACACAATAGGTTGTTCCAGCGAATGGGAACAAAGGTCAAACACCAAAGGAACTTTCCAGGGAACTGGAGGTGTTTTTAGCTCAAGAAATACGTGCAAACTGTGTTTAGTTTTCGTGCGCTGTGCCGCTATTGCAAATCATCCGCCAGCTATATATAGGGACAAATTTGCTGAGTGCTAACTGACCTTTAATGGACCTGAACGTTGGATATAAATGACCAGAACGTTGGGCATTAATAAGTCGAAAACTATCCATTTAAATACACAATAAAAGACAAGAACGTTGGGCATTAAAGGTTCATTAAATCGTATCTTTGAAATCTTTGAAAGACAAATTTTCGGACTGCATTCGTGTTCGCAGGTAACCCGCGCACGCAAGTCATAGTTTTTCTTCTCCATTTTCGGGATTTGATCGACACCCCCCTGCGCATGAAGAGAGTCTTTCCACCTAGGAATCTTAACTCCTTCAAAGAGGGTCACCTTTATAAGGGGTGAAAATCCTTTGGGTTTTCCGGTGTGGGATAAATCACACTAGAAACTCATTCTTTTCTCAGTTGTCCCATTTCAACGAGTGAACTTCGATAATCAATTTCTCATTCACCCGTTATCCATTTTGAGTGTACCACATTTCGAATTGTAGCCATTAGCAAGGAGAATCCGAGACCACTTTGATCTGACCAAAATGGAAGTGAACCCCGCTCAAAATAATACCCAAAATTGACCATTTAATGCATTTTTAACACCTTTTTTCCAACACAAAATATACATAATTAATTTCACATTTGATTCACGTCTTTCACTTTGTCCACTTTTGCTACTTGATTATTATTTCTTCACCATATGTGGTCCTTCCACCCAACTTTTTGATGCATTTATGACGATTTTAATCACCAGAAACATCATCAAAAGGATCATTTTATGGGTGAAAAATATCAGCAGTGGTCAAAGACGTGAATCAATTGTGAGATTTGTACGATACTTGTAGGACTCAAATTAAAGTCATAGAATTTATACAAAAATATATTGATAATATTGAAAATGACTTAATTGACTAATTCTGTTCAAAGTTATGAAGTTCTGGCAAAAGTGACTGGATTGGCTGCTTATGCTGATTTATGAATAAATTATATTTAAAATATATTTTATTAATAAAAATAAAGAAAAAATAATATGAAAAAATAATTAAAAGTCTAAAATGGTCATCTAAAGTAACTTCAGCCAAAGAAGCCATAAAAGTATTTGCAGCGTTACTTATTTTGATTATTACACAATTTGCGCACGAAATCAAAAGTTACGTGTTTGGTAATTAAAAAATTGACTTATAAGATTGATAAACGAAAAAAAGGTCACCAAACGAGCAATATATAGTATTATTAACACATTAACTATCAAAAATAGTGATTTAGTATGGTTAACAAATATCAAAGACTCACAGTAGGACTAATTCGAACAACGTACTACATATATACGTAGTACCAGTGTGTTGTCAATCCCAGATAGCGGAGCGGAGCGGGCAGCCCCCAAAACGCTATAGCGGTATAGCGGATAGCGGGATGACCGCTATTTGGAGTACTTTCAAATATAATAGATAAGTAACTACTAGAAGCATATGTAATACATGTTGGAAAAAGTGTGTTAAAATTGCATTAAATGGTCATTTTGGGGCAATTTTTTGAGTGGGGTCCACTTCCGATTTGGGTCGGGTCAAAGTGGTTTCGGATTGTCCTTGCTTAGGGCTACAATTCGATATATGGTACGCTCAAAACAGATAACGGGTGAATGAGTAATCGCTTTTCGAAGTGTACCCGTTGGAATGGAGAAAACTATGAAAATGTGAGTTTTTGGTATGGTTTTTCCCACACCGAGAATCACAAGGGATTTGCAACCCTTTATAAGGGAAAACCCCCCCTAAGGAGTTAAGATTCCTAAAGGGAAAGGCTCTCTCACGCGCGCAGGGGGGGTGCGGATCAAATCCCGAAACTGAAGAACAAAAAGCGCGAATTGCGTGTGCGGGCGACCTCCACACACGAATGCCGTCCGAAAATCTATCATCTAAAGATAACGTTAACTTTTGTTCTTTGGTAACGTTTTTTTCAATACCAGCATGCTGGGCATTGATGTCCAACAGCCATATCCATTAAACACCTCTAGCATTCCACAAAAACTCTTTTGTGTTCTTGCTTTGTTCGCGTTCGTGGGAACTTTCGTTTGAGTGCTCAAACGCTTGTTCGTAGTCATCGTATCCTGGGAAACGATTCTTGCAACGCTCCTAGCACCCCGGGAGGCAACAAATACGTTTTAAGGAAATCGTGCGTAGTGAATATTACATACGAAGTATTGAATTCATGCAATGTTAATATTACGTAGTACCGAATATTACGTCGTCTCCTGGCTTGACCTAAAAACGAATTGATTTCATGCAATGTTAATATTACGTAGTACTGAATATTACATACGAAGTATTGAATTCAATCATATCCATTTTGTAAGAAAAAGAAATATTACACCATCCATTTTTTTTTCAATCATATCCATTTTGTATCAATATGAGATGTGCATCAACACGTCGTTTCCTATAACGATTGGCTTTTAAATCTTAATAATATTATACGGAGTATTATACCGAGTATATAGATAGTATATCCTACTACTCCTTCCGTTCTTAAATAAATGCAACATGTTATATTTTACACTATTCATTTATTCTATTTTGACAATGTTTTATTTATTAATGTTTTAATAAATTATTCTTATAAAAATATAGTTAAATAGTTAAATTGCTCTCATTATTGTAAATTTTCAAATTCTGAATTTTTTAATTTTTTTAATAATAGAGAATTAAATATGAGAGCTTTCGTGGAATTAAGAAGCATGAATTATAGAAGAAAGAAAATGAAGCTCACAATCATAGAGAAGAAGAATAAGATGAAATGAAAATCCTTTATTACATGTTGCTTGAATTGAACGTTTGTACAAACTGAGAAGCTAACTAACTGTAACAAAGCTAATTAACTGAGAAGCTTCTAGTAACTACGTGATTGATCGAACTCCACGTCTGCATGGGTCTACTTGCATGATCGTCATGCATGTTGGATGTTTGTTTATTACGCCTACTGGTGAGTAGTAGGAACATATACTTCCTCCGTAACAAAAAAATCTTCCCACTTTCCTTTTTTGTCCGTAACAAAAAAATCTTCCCATTATAACCTCAATAATTCTAAAAATACGGAGTAATACACTATTACAACTACTTTTTTTGATTTATCCTACATTCCATCACATTATTCCACTATTTTCCCGTCATACCCTCAATAATTCATATCATCTTTCACTATTCTTAATCTACCTACTTTTGAAATGGGAAGGTTTTTAAGCTACGGAGGTAGTATATGGCACTTGGCACGTATAACTCCAGATTGGATTCATACTCGCATGAAGTGGCAAATCTATTTCCACAAGTTTGGTTTGTTCGTGATGTATAGGATTAGCTGCCAAGGCTATAGCAGATTTACTTCTGCAGCTGAAGTAGCAATTGCTCTATATTCAGCTTCTGCAGAACTTCTAGATATTGCTCTATATTCAGCTAAAATGTTTACAATCATATAAATAGCCATTGAAAGAATTGAAATAGGAACAAATGATTGTTCAGTGCACCACACAGGTCACAGGTGACACTAGTCAAATCTAGAATATCCGCCATTAATCAAGTTGATAAAATATCATTGTACGCCTCTGAAAAAAGCAATCTTGTGTGCTTCTGGACATCCTAAAGATAACTTGAACTTAATTTGCTGAAGCAGAAAGAGTGGAAAGATGTGTACGTCTACTTATGATGAACCTCTCCCGGTATTGCTCAAAGGTTCCTTCCTTAATTGACTCTCTGATGGAGCGGAAGAATTGTAGATAATGATGAGTGTTGTGTATTTCTAATAGGATCTGAGCCAACATTTCATGAACAATAAGCAGGTGATTAATGTACGCCTTTGTATGGCTTTGACATGTAAAACAGCTACAGCCGTCAACAATTGGTGACGTATCTTTCCTGTACATGGTTGATTTCAGGTTGATCTTTGTCCCATCACAGCCTATGTCACTATATGGCTGACAATCAGACAAGTGACTCTCAGTTCTATCAAGTGGGAAAGTGAGTGCGAAACCTCCGTGTGTCAGGTTAAAGATGTACGAGGAATCGAATAGATCAATGCCTGCTGCAACTCCCTGCAAGACCTCTTCTGGAAGTTCAAGCCCACATATCTGTCGTGGCTTATTCTCAGGTAACGATTCCGTAACAGCACTAAGAAGGGCAGTGCGTTCATCCATACTCTCTCCTAATCCAAAGCCACCAATCCAATAACCTGAAACATTTCTCTTAGCAACTTCTTGAGCACAATGCTGTCTTTCTTCAACGCTTGAGCCCCCAACAATAGAACCAAAAATGGTTGTGTCTGTCAGGTTTAAAGTGATACAATCATCAAGCCATCTCAAAGTGCGATCAACAGATATTCTATTTCTCTTCTGTGAAACCCAAGCAGGCACCTCATCAGATAAAGTGGCCCACATATTTGGTCTCATAGAAGAAATCATTTTCATGTACTCGGCAGGTTTTATCAAACAACGACCGCAAGGAGTTTCAAATGAAGCTCCAGTCCTGTTAGCACTCATGTACTCAGGTATGGAAATAATGGAGTCCCTTGGAACGGCTGTGAATATCCGGTCATGTAAACCGAGCATCTGGTGCAGTCCTCCACTGTCGGATATGGTTTGGTTAGAGACGCATCCTAAGAAGTGAACCGGGCAAACCTGAAGAAGGCTGGAGTCCGGCAAAGGGAGGGAAGGGAGGTGATCGGGAGGAATAAAAACGGGCAGCCCTTTGCGAGTGGTGAGAACGAGAGCCGGAGTCTCGATGGAGTATGGGCTGCTACTCAACTGCAAAACCCCTGCACGAGCTTTCCCGTTGCTCCATGCCTTCACCGAGAATTTCATCTTTCCAATTCTTTTCTTAGCTGTAAGCCTACAAAATGAAATTGTAAATAGAACAAATGGAAGAAAAAGACGTAAGATGTAGACCATTAAATGAACACTCCAGAGTAAAATTATAATGAATATCCAAAATAATAGTATCTGAAGTCCGAACAAAAAATAACCAACAATTATAAAATATACTCCCTCCGTCCCACTAACAATGGGATAAGAGAGAGTGGCACACAAATCTATAAAGAGTTGTTTATGTGGTTGATATGTAATTGATAAAGTAAGAATAAAGTAAGAATGATTTAGAGTCACACAAACTTTACCAAATAAGGTATGGGACAATCTTAGTGGGACGGACCGAAATGGTAAAATGGGACAATCTTAGCGGGACGGAGATAGTAATTAGTAAAGTAGGAAAACTGCACGAAGCATCAAACCGCTAATATTTACTTGGTGTCCTTAAACGCTTGATCACCGAATGGACAAATGACCCACAAAATGCATTGGCAACTCACCCAACTGTCAAATAAAATTAATTATTAAATAGGATCGTATTGTAGTATATAAGCCTTACGCATGTAGGTAAGTGCATTTTCTTTTGCCTAAAAAATGCACTTAGCAGTATTTCTTATAGACAAATGAGTAAATTGTTATCGTAAAGCTCCTTCGTAATGAGATACTGAATCGGCTCATTATATCTTACTACCTCCGTCCCATTTATATTGTCTCTTTACGGTTTACGATGTTTGACCGACGATAAAGCAAACAGATCCCTGTCCGCACTCAAATTATTTTTAGGAAAAAAAATTACATTCAGAAACTACATTTAAAGCTTTAAAAAAGTCGCAAAAACCTGGATCAAATTTGATAAATTTTTTATATATAAAGTAAGAAATTAGGAGTGATTTGTGTTGACCAAGTAAATAGGAACCGGGACAATATAAATGGGACGGAGGGAGTACTCTTTTGTCTCACTATCTGTGCAAAACCAGAAACCATATTGTAGGCAGGAAGTTCAAATGTGATCTCTATATTTCCTTAAGGCTAAAATGTATGGTTGTGGAAAGAAAAGAAAAACCAGGTTTTTGAATATTAAATGTGCAGAAACAGAAACATTATACGAAGTGTATGTACCAGGGGTTCTCTTAAAGATTGCATTTTTTGCTTGAGCAAAGCAAATAAACATTTTTCATGGTGAAAAGTGCTGCATTGACAGTAAGCTTTCCCCTGATCCTCTCTCTTAGGTATGAGTCTGTCCAAACAACGTTTCCTGGAGCCTTCAACAACAAAAAAAGTAAAACTGATAGCAGAAACCGCAACTACCAAAAGATTATACATAGAAACATTAGCAATACCCATAGGAATGGATATAGAATCCTCCTTTTCCACCTCATACGTGATATAAACTAACAGAGCACATCAGACAGGGAGTTGATTGAGTAATTCAAATTACATTTAGGGACTTCTTGGATTTTTTCACTTCAAGTATTGGCCCTTCTTTATGTCTTTGCCCTGCTCCATTTATAATGTATGTAAGTTAGAGGAACATCATACTCATTAATAATGTTAAATTTACAATACACTCTCATATGGTATATGTTAAATCTCATTTGATTTGAACTAGCAGCCTTTTAAGGAAAACAAGCATATATCATAACAGGCAAAGAAGTATTTTTTTTAAAGAAAAACTAAGATCGTGCCCTCAAATTGCATAAATTTTATAGCTTACTGAGATTTTAAAACAAGTCAATACCAGAAGAGTTCCACATACAGAACTTCAAAATGTATAAGAACAACATGATAATAACCGGACAGTTGGTCTTTTTTGCATTAAAGGTGCGAAAATGAAGGCACACCATTGCTTTCAAATCATTCTTAGATTTGTACAAACATCATTTAAGAAAGGGAAAGTGGAGACGGTGACAGGGAAGATATAGCTAAAGCATCCTAACCTCCTAAACCCCATCTACTAAGAAGGGAACCAGAGCATACTATCCAGTCTATCCGGAAAAAAATTAGAACAACACCATCTCCAAGGATACATTTTCTTTTATTCCCAAAAATTCACTTATATGTGATTATATGTACACACGCTCATCAGTAAAATGAGATTATATAACTGTAGAAACCAGTAAAACCAAAAACACACCAAATAAATTTCAAACAACAATTCATAAACAAACAAAAGATGAAACCAGTAAAACCAAAAAGAAACCAAATAATCAAAAAACAATACATAAATGATAAACCAAGAAAAGATGAAACCAGTTAAACGATATACACACAATTCAGAACTGTATATACACATTTTCAGAACCACATCTTCTTCTCAAAGCTTTGCACGATGAAATTGATAAATTATGTGTGCTCAAAACTATACAATTTTACTATCCATCATTTCACACCAAACTAGTAAACAACTATATTCATCCCCCATCTCATAACTAATCTGATTCCCGTAACAAATGGGATGTTATTTGTAGAAGTTCTCTGTGACGAGCAAAATATGGGATAAGTGATGAATAAAAATTTTGTGTTTCAAAATGTAGTGTTACATTGAGACCTAAGATTAAACAAAGGAGGCTTTACAAATTTATTTTTAATATGCAATAAAAAAGTACTGGAGACGTTCAATCTATAAAGAATTGAAAACATACCGGTGATGAAGCAATCTTTTAGATGGAGCTGCTAGAAGTACATGGAAATCCGATTCACACTATCACCCGGTTAGGAGATTTTCGCCCAAAATCCGAACTTGGTACTCTGGATAATCGCAGAAGGGGATGAAGGAGATTTTCTCCAAAGAATAATCCGAACCTGGCACTCGGATAATCGCAGCAGCGGATGAAAGAGATTTTCGCCAAAAATAATAATCTGAACCTGGTACTTAGATAATCACAGCGGCGGATGAAGAAGTTTTTTTCAAAAAAAAAAAATCCGAACCCGGTACTTTAATCGCAGCGGCGGATGAAGGAGTATTTGATAATTGCAGCAGTGAGAAGGGTTTTGTGCGCAGAGAAAGAAGACGAGGAGAACGATCAGACATGCCCGAGTTGGGTAGAGTTTGGTATTTTTTTTTGGAGTAAAGGGTAAAAAGTCCTTATATAGGTTCTATTCGGCCGTCGTCATTTGGGGCGGTTTCCGGTGGAATTGTTTGATGAAATTTTTTGAACATCTTATTCATCGAGTCTATTTCACTCATACCAAATTTCAGATAAAAATTCAATCGGAAAGACATTCAAATGAATTTTTGAAGATAACTGTGCAATTAAATACACAGTTATTTTCAAGAATTCATTTGAATGCCTTCCCGATTGATTTTTTAGCTTAAATTTGGTATGAGTAAACTAGACTTAATGAATAAGATGCTTAAAAAAAATTATCAAGAAATTCCACCGGGAACCGCCTCAAATGACACGCCCGGACAGAATCTTCTATATAAGGACTTATTTGACACCTTTTATGCAACTTCGAGGACCAAACTGACTCTTTACTCATTTTTTTGGGTTACCCCAATTTATTTGGGTTGGCTATTGATAATATGAGCAACTAATGAATGCAATATGAATCTTGGTTAACTTGTTTCCAAAATATACAAATAAATACAAGTAATTTTTATAAGAGTAAACTTTGGGCAATAGTATGAAACATTCTTGCGTAAAGGAAATTAATTTAGAAGCAAACATGTATGTATATATATAATAATCACATAGTAAAAATGGTAAATGTTAATAATGCCGCAATATCATAAAGTCTTAGATAGAGCACATCAGTCTAAAATATTCCGCAGAAATTATCCAACAAAATGTTTCAACGTTATAATAGTAAAACTTTCAGGCGGATCGACTACTATCGGGTTTGAGATTTTAATTCTGCAACCCTACCCATTATGTGCGGGTTCATACATATTTAACTCATGAATACTTTTGAAAATCGAATACCTAATTAAAATGGCCGACTGGGATTGGATCAGACAAGTTATGAAGATTTGGGTTATTTTTGTGCAGCTCTATTCAAAACTCGGCCATGAAATAGATGTGATCTGGGTGAGGTTTAATGTCTTAGGTTCTTTTAATTTAGATTTTTAAAAAAATGAATACATTTTATCTTTATGACGGTTTGTACATAACAGTCGTGAATTTCGTGATATGTGAAAGACAAAAAACGTCTGCAAAAACAAATGTAAAGGACAAAATAATGAAATAAGACTACAAAATAGCCACTCTAAGGCTAACTGCAATCCATGGGATGGGATGAAAACCCCAAATTTGAAGTATTCAACCCTCAATTGCAGCACCCCTATCTAAAAAATGTAGGGATTTTTTCACAAATAGACCAAAAAAGGAAAATAATATCACTTTTGTTCCTTCTGATTTTCTAAAACAGACTACGAAAAGAATTTCTTTTCAAAATAGACCTTGACTGCTAAGCCGCCTAAAAGGTAAATAAGTTAATAAAATACAGTAAATGTATAAAAACTATAAAAGTTTAAAAGAATAAATAATTGTTCAATTTAAAATATGAAAACTAATAGAAAAAATAAAAGTAAAAAAGTACAAATAGGTTAAAACATATAAATTGAAAAAAAAACTAACATTTAAAACGAAATTGTAAAATAAAATAAAAATGTTGTGAAACTACTTAAAAATATGAAAAGTAATTATAGATCTTTATAAAAGACCAATTCTTTTTTATAAGGGCCACTTTTGTATAAGGACCAGATCCCATCAATAGCCCTGTTTGGTATGTTATACACCCTACGCATATAAATATGCGCATAGTGAATGCTTTGCAAATTTTTAGAGAGAGAGAGAGACAGAATAGAATAGCCGCACCTGAGAGCTGTGTTTTTCGATATTCACGCTGGAAAGAACTTTACCTGTTCAATACATTTCCTTATCATGATCAATGGAGTTTCTTTCTATGCTTATCCTTTCTATCTGCTTCGATATCTGTTATATTTAGTAAAAACAGGAACCAAACAAACCCGGCTCTCACATCCTCCCCTTAATATGTCCTTTGCACCCTTGAAGCTATGAGATCATAGCCTTCACTGTCGAATTCAAATTCTGAGTTATCATCACCATCTAATAAGTCCATCGCCCTGCATTTTTTGGAAGCTTAATATCTTCATAATGACTCACATTTTGAACCTTCTTTTTCCACCTTAGTAACCGCATTTACGAAAATTTCAGCATCCTCATTATCGCTTCAATCAAATTGCTCATTAGGATCATGGTCCCAATCTTCAAGCTAAGGTTGCACATGGATCCCATGCCTTTTTCTATCACTGTATTTTCTGCATATCCCATGAATATATTAGTCTTCAATATAGTGGTCAAACTCAACCTGTTCCTCATCAGTCCCTGAATCTGCTCTAGGACCTTGCTCTACATCATTCTGAAGGAGGCGTGTGAAGGGAAAACCAGGATGTTCTATACTAAGTGGTAGCCAGGCAATCTCAAAGTTTACATTCTTCAACCCCCGAGCTTCGTGGTCATCATAAATACTCAACAAGTGTCTGCCAGTCATTAACTTCTATCTCCTCATCATTCCAAGGAAATGTTGCATACACAACATACAATTCACTACCATCTAAAAACACATTCAGCACCTTGGTTTTCAAAACATTAACCATATCAATCATGGTAGTGTTCTTACTATCCAAGTTCTTAAAGTGGTACAAACTCCCATTGCACAAAACATGGACATTGAAGATACCCATGCCTAAAAGGAAGTGGAAATGTAAATCAACTTATTACAATCATTTGATATGAAATATAATGTATGTGTCAAACTTTAATAAATACAAACATTGTGAATGATAACATAGATACATAGTTAGATTTTTGTATTTCGTGACAATATAATGATTATGGATATATAAAATATAACAAGACTTAAAAAAAAATCCAATGTACTAGTTATTCTCTCTTTTGTGTGTCACTCTTATTCACCAATGTATTGTCTGGTCTATGAACTCAAAAACCATCTGCTCTATTTCTTTTCCTCTTTGTATTCATCTCTTAGAGAAAAAACTTAAACAACTCAAGACTCTACTAGTTATTCTCTGTTTTATGTGCCACTATTGCTCTCACTGACCTACTTTTCTGTTAGCTAACCAAAAAACCAGAGTGCAATGTTAATTAAGGCTACGAATTTCTCATCATCCAGAAATGAAACAAAGAATCATTCTCACCGCGAAAACTGAAAAAAGAAAAGATTAATTTTGGAATTAAAAAGTATCAATCCTAAAAAAAATCTTGTTCTTTGTCCTTTAGCAAATGAAGTGTCGCTACTCATTATCTCTAACCTAAGTGACATTAGAGAACAGTAAGAGCCCCAAAAGCATGGTTGCTAGGATAGAAGCACACCAAAGAGAATTACCTGTAAGAGATTTGTGACACTTCTATCTTCGGAACATAAAAAAGCACCGCCCGGAGATCATTTATGAGCGAGTGTTTGTGGAAATTTTCTGAGATACAAAGAATGGATTTAAATTGGGGTATCCGATTATTTGTGTAACTTTACTGATTAACCCTTACCGTTAAAGTTAACACTCTCAGATAATATAGGGAGGGAGGTTGTTGTTTATTTTTAATACTATAGGGATTAAGTGATAAGAAGGTTAAACCTGAAGGGAGTTGGGTGATAATTTCCTTTTTTTTGGTATTATACCATAGTACTACGTATATATAGTTAAAACCAAAAAATTGGAATTGGCCCAGTGCAAAATAAAATCTGGCCCAATGCAAAAAAATGGTCCATAGCTAATCTGAAAAAGAGAGAGGATTGGGTTGACTATTGACCTCAAGCGCAGGCTCGCAGCAGAGGTCGATGAATTAGACGCACGCCGCAGCCCGCAGCGCAGGACTCCACAGACCGCCACACCGCTCGCTGCTCGCATCGCCGGACGCTGCAGGAAGGCCCGCAGCTCGCCAGCTCCGCCGCGCGCATCGACGGAGGCCGCACGCACTGACGCCCCCTTCTGCAATAATGCCGCTCCTGCTTGCTTCTTCTCTCGTTTCAGGTTAGTTCCTCTATTTTTTACAATTTACTAGTATATTTAATTTATGTATTTTATTCGTTATTTTAGTTTTTATTAGTGATTTAGTGTGTCATTTAATTCGTTTGTGTAATTGTGTGCTTTGAATTGTGAAATGGAAAATTAGGAATGCGGGATTTTTTAAAATATTAATAATTTAACACTCCCTCCTTAACATTCATATCTTTCCTTTTCCTTTAACACTCGTATCTTCCCATTTCTAAATCTTCCCATCATATCCTCAATAATTTTGAAAATAATACACTATTACAACTGCATTTTTGGATTTATCCTTCATTTCATCACACTCTTTCATTATCTTCCCATCATACCTTAATAATTTATATATTCTCTTTCACTATTCTTAATCTCACCTAAATTTAAATGGGAAGATATATGTGTTACGGAGGTAGTATGAATTATGTGAATTAAAATAAAATATAGTTTAGTTTTTTTTGCTAATTTTAGTAGGGTATGACTACTAATCTACTTCCAAGAAGGCAAAAACGTTTGTTTTATAAACCTGGTACAACACACAAAATAGACAAGAGTTAAATGTGTCGATAGGAACTCCAGATATCTCATCCTTTGAAGAGAAAGTAGTTTCTGATACACTGGTAATTGAGCGGGATCCGAGAAAATGGAAAAAGATAGGTGACTGGGCGTTAGAAAGAAGAGATGAAATTAGACGATCTTATGTGATGTTTGGACCTTTTTTTTTGGAACATTCTTCTGAACCTATTATAGTATCTTTTCTTGTTAATGCCAACGTCCTTGATTGGGATGGGACCTCTTCTTTGGGAGATCAGCAGTGATGCCATCAGACCACAAGGTACTTGGCGATGTTTGGACCTTATCAACCGAAATTGAACTATTACTAAGGCCAAGAATACAAAGATAAGACACGTCGTTTTCAATCCACTTGGTTCAATGAATTTAATTGTTGTTTAGATGGTGTTTATAAAAATTTACTCTTAATTTTTTTACGTATTTAAAAATTTTATATGCTGACACACATATTTGTTGACACATAAAAGTGTAATAATAGCTAACATGTATTAACACTTTTGCATGACAAGATAACTATTCCATATCTATTTGAGCAACTGCCACAAACACAACCGCTCCATTGTGACTGCGGCCCTTGCCAACAACCCTTCTTTTCTGATCCTCTAACCAATATCCCTTCTTACCAAATAAGTGAGAGTTTTTATCAAACAAACATCAAATTTGCAAAACTTTGTAGCTGATTAAATGAAAGGCTCAAGTTGAAAAGGAGCTCAGAAAACTGTGTACCGCACAAACATAATCATTCGCTCCCTCTCGCCTCTCCATTAGCATGACAACATTACCTAGCAATTATTGAGAATCTGATATGATTATTGACATCTACTCAGTGTAGTCAAAGACGCTCGCCTGACTGCTCTGTGCTTAAGTGCACCAGGCAAGGTGCTCAACATGGGCAGTGCCTTAATGTTCTCCATGCGCAGTGATATGCCTCAGGTGCAAATAATGCGAAATAATCCAAGAAGCACAGAGGTGCAGAAACGCACGCCTGGGCTGGGAAAGGCTTCTCAGCTTATTTTTTTGTATAGAAGATTTGGGACTATCATAAATAAACCCATATTCATAATAAGATATAGCCCATCCAAAAGAATAAAAAGATGTTCTTGATTGATTGCACTTCATTGAAAATGGTGAACAGTACAGTCCACCATTTAATTGTAGTGTTAAGCTGGTGAATCTGGGATGATGTTCAGAAAAGTTTTTTTCTTTTCCTTTCTCCCTTTCCTTTGACTCTTTCTTTCTGTTCCCTCCTTTTCTCTTTCTCCGGTTCGCTCACCTGTTTTTCTTCAATCTCTCCTCTTGTTCACGTCTCTTTAGTCGATTTACATTACTGTTTCTGCCATACTATTTTAGTTCCCGCTTCTTTCTTCTATACTTTTCTTGGTATAGAAAAGTATACTGGTATGTGCTTTTCTTGGTATTCCATCTCCTATCTTTTGCAGCTATGGCAGATGGTGGGTTTTCTGATTTTGGGTGGTGAACTGGCGATGCGACTATGAGCGCCTGCTGTTATTGGTTTTGTCAAATTGTGACCAGAGACGCTTTAGTAGAATATTTGAGATTTTAGACTAGGATTATTATATCATGTGAAATAAGAAAACTACTTTTGATCATAGGACTTTCAACTTATAACATGATTTTTCCAAAAGACTGATACTGTGTTATGTAAATATGTAGAGAGACAATGGGCATAGGAATGGATAGCAATGGTATTAAGTATTATAAAACCAGGAATCTTCTTAATATAACTTCATGATAAATGCATATCTAGTGCTTTTATTTTTTAATATAATTTGGAAATTAGCTTTACAATGTAAAAATATACCAACTTGAGATCTTGGGTGTGCTATCAAACACTCGAAGACTACTTTAATCACGTTTGAATCACATTTATTCTATGTACACGTATTCTTTGCAGTACTGAACTTAAAGTGCAATGTTAGTAATACACATTACACTTGTTAGATTTGCACAAGAAAGCTGCTTGGAATCACAGGAAAAAGTGCCCAAGTTTGAATTGACTTTGGAAAAGGCCTGTTGGTTGGAAGAAGTGCTTCATGATGTTTATCTAGTCCTTTTTCCCCTGTTTGATGATGAAGCTCAAAGTAGTATCATGTGCTTGCAAGAGCAAGAACATTGTTAAAATGTGGTGCACCGATCAATTAATTATTCAACCCCTTCAACTCTCATGCTTAGTCCATCATAGGTATTTTTCTAGGTGCGCAGAAGTATATGCATTGGGCATCCTTGCAGTGAGCGGAATTAGTTTTCCAAAGAGAGGGTCAAGTTTTGTTGTGCAATCTTTGTTGCAGTTGAATTTATTTGACGGGATTTATTCTCGTAGTTACACCACAAGTACTGTGGGGATGGAGAATGTACCTATTCATTGTGGTGCCAATGAGGCTGCTGATAAGGTCTACCAGACTATTGTCAATTACTCGAATCCTGACCATAAAATGGAGATAGCCCTTGATAATCTAGGTGTAGAACTGAGTACTCCTCTGGTGGTAGAGGTCCTGAACAAGCTTCGATATGAGGAGAAAGTAGCATTTAGGTTCTTCACATGGGCAGGAAAGCAAGAAAGTTATAGTCATGAGCCTCAGGCATATAATGAGATGATTGATGCACTGTCGAGTACAAAGTACAAGGTCAAACAGTTTCGAATTGTTTGTGATCTGCTGGACTACATGAAGAGGAACAGTAAACGCTCTGTTCCTATTGAGGTGTTGTTAAAAATTTTGAGGCAATATACTGAAAAGCATTTGACTAATCTTCACAAATTTGCAAGGAAGAAAAGAATAAGGGTGAAGACACAACCTGAAACCTATGCCTTCAATTTACTGATGGATGCTCTATGTAAGTGCACTCTTGTTGAGGATGCTGAAGACATGTTTAAAAGAGTAAAGAACAAGCTAAAGCCAAATGCAGATACTTATAACATTTTGTTTTTTGGATGGTGTAGAGTTAGAAATCCAACTAGAGGTATGGCTATTCTTGAGGACATGATAAATGTGGGGCATACACCTGATAATTTCACCTACAATACTGCAATTGATAGTTTTTGCAAAGTAGGCATGGTTACAGAGGCCTCCAAACTACTGGAATTTATGAAGTTGCATGGATCAACCATGTCTAGTCCAACGGCAAAAACTTACGCCATTATGATTGTGGCTCTTGTCCAAAATGATAGAGTTGAAGAATGTTATAGTGTTCTTGGAGATATGATACGCAGTGGGTGCCTTCCTGATGTTTCCACATACAAGGATCTGATTGAAGGTATGTATTTGGTTGGAAAGATTGAGGTTGCTTACAAACTCCTGGAAGAGATGGGAAGCCAAGGGTATCCTCCTGATATTGTTACTTTCAATTGTTTCCTCAAGGTCCTGTGTCACAATAGCGACAGAGATGAAGCACTTAGACTTTATCGTAAAATGATTGAAGTAGGCTGTGCTCCTAGTGTACAAACATTCAACATGCTAATTGTGATGTTTTTTAAGCTAAGGGATGTTGATGGTGCATTTGAGACATGGCATGAGATGGATAGTATAGGCTGCACGCGGGATACAGAGACATATTGTGTGATGATTGAAGGTCTCTTTGGTAGCAATAATACTGAAGATGCATGTTTGTTGTTGGAAGAAGTGATGTTTCGGGGAATCAAACTTCCTTATCAGAAATTTGACACATTTTTAATGCAACTGTCTGCAATTGGTAATCTCCAAGCTATACATAAACTCTCAGAGCATATGAAGAACTTTTACAACCCAGCTATGGCAAGGCGAGTTGCGCTGAACCAGAAGCGTAGGAGCACGAGTTTAAGAGGGAAGTAACAGATTATTTATGCTTGAACCATGGTTCTAAAACTCGCCCAAATCGGCCGCCTAGGCGCCGGAAAGTCGCTAGGCGTCAAGCTCCCGTGGTGATTTTCTTGTTTTCGGACCCCAAATCGCTCTACCGAGTAATCGGCCGCACAGACCGAGTAATCGCCCGATTCCTCCGAATAGTTACACTTGTTAGTCGGCCATGGCATAAAAGACCTGTGCTGTTTTAACTTCCCGATGAAACATTGCCCACTTTCCTGGTGAAACCTCATGTCCTGATTTGTCTCTTTCTTCTCTTCGGACGGCCATTGATGAGGGACGGCTCTCTCTTCACTTCAAATTCTGGATGCCCCTTCTTCGTTCTTCAAATGATCACTCCAGTGTTTAGGTAAAGATCTTTTGAAGGTATTATTTTAATCACTTTGTTACTAAGACAGTTTGGAGAATATGTGCTGATTTCTGTTGACACATAAAACCTAATTGAGATAGTTTGAATGTAATTAGTATGGGTGTGTGTGAGAAACGAGACTGCTGATTAATCGAGAAATTGATAACCTGGTATTGAAAGGAACTTGAAATGTAGCTATGGTGTTCGACAAAATTCCTCAAAGAAGTAATGCAAACTTTGACTAGAAATTTATTCCATTTACTTTATTTTTCTTAAGAAAAGAGTTGAGAGCTATTAATATGTCTATTTTTTTATCTTCCGTTCATGAATATATATGATGACTACCTTCTTGATTGATAGTAATGTTATAGTTTTAGGAAATTTAATAGTCTACTTTTCATTTGTTAAGCAACCTAGACCGATTTTGGAACTCATGAGTGTTCTAACATTTTAGCCTAGAGTTCAGTGTATTAATCCTTAAATGTGATAGAAGCAGTCTGAATTGATTTTGGAATTCCATATGGACATGGGTTTCCAGCCAGATGAAGAAGAAGCATTATAATTGCTTATTTTGCATCATAGGTGTGTTTTTTCTTACAAAAGAACCCGTATATGCTACTCTTATGTTAATATTGTGCCAAATTTTGTGATGTATTGTTGTGTAGTTTGTATAATAATATATGAAATGGGCTAAGAGTGAGTGGAGTGTACTAAATTGTAAGCTACAAACCACAAAATGATGTTGCAGACTTGCAGGTATCAAGTGGATTAAAGATCATATGGTGCACATTTTGGGATTCTGTATTTCTATGTATGCTAATGTGCCTTGTGAATTGTGATCATGTAATGCACACTGAGATCCTTAGTATTAATGCTCTTGTCCAATAGTACTACTTTTTGGTAATAAAGTAGCAGTTGGTTTAAAACTCTAAAAACTCATTGTGGGGGTTTTGATTTTTTTTTTTAAAAACAGAGTTTTGATTGTTGTTGTAAACTGCAGTACTAACTTAATAATAATATGTTTAATGTAGTAATTTGTACTTAGAATATATACATATTTTTGGCTTTTTTTAAAACCGAGTTGGCCGCCTAGTCGGCGCCTAGTCGGCGCCTAGTCACCCTAGGCGCTAGGCGGTGCATTGCCGCCCAACTAGCGCCTAGCGAGTTTTAGAACATTGGCTTGAACTGGAAATGCTGTGGTGCAAGGGGATTGTGCTTGTTTGATAAGTGGCACTGTGGCAGTGTGGCACAATGCCATGGCTATGGCAATGGCAATCAAATGGCATCACCACAACCCCTTTTCACGACCCCTTTTCATGGCGCATGCGCCATTTTGCGCCATCAACAACCATGATCTTAACACAATATTTATCACTTTCCAGTTTGGCGCATACAGCATACTAAATGAATAAAAACAGTAAAAATGAGAAAAATAAAAAGCTGCTAAATTTTTCTATCATAAAACAAAGGGGAGTCAAATAATTGAATGTATAAAATTGGTAATATGCCAAGTGATGAACATTAGGGGTGAGCATGAGATGGTACGGGACGGTTATTTCGAAAAACCTGTCCCGTCCCAAAGTACGGTTCTTTTAAAAATCAAGAACCGGTACCGTTCCGCATATATATAGAACCTGTCCCGTTCCGTACCAATTTTCGGTACGGTTTGGTACAGTTCGGTACGGTTCTTTAGTGTTATTTAGTTCCTAAATAATTAACCTCATTAAATATAAAAAACTTTAGATTTTAACATTTATAAATAAACTCTACAAAAATTTAAGAGAAGAACTTGCAAGACTACATTTAATTGATCTTGTGTGATCAAATTGAAATATGAAACTAATAATCAAACTATTAAAAAGAAAAGTAACATCCAAACTAAAAATCAAAAGTGGTCGTCAAACTGAAAAACCAAAAAGTATCACATCACATGACAAAGAATATGCAAGATTGCTCATTTGTACGTAATGACATACGGTCACTAACATTTACACTCGGTAAAATATATTATATATAATACGAAGTATATAATTATATTATAACACAAGTTTTCGGAACAATTCGGTACGGTACGAGACGGTTCGGTTCAATACGGTTCCGGGACGGTTCTCACTAAGAACCGGTACCGTACCATCTTATTAAAAAAGCTCGGTACGGTACAGTACGGTATTACATTTTTCCGATTCTATCGGTTCTGGAACGGTTCGGGACGGTTCTTCGGTACGGAACGGCAATTCCCAGATCCGCATTCAGCCCTAATGAACATTGTCTCTTCGTGCTTTGCTATTTACTACAGGGATAAGGCCAACTACATCCAATCCCCTAGCTTTTATGACACTAGGGTAATGTTGTTGTTGTACCAAGTGATGAACACATGTTCTAGATCAATATGAGGAGTGGTGATAGTTTGGGTTATTCTTGTGAATTTTTCCTATTATATATTAGTTAGTTAAAGTGTACTCCGTAATTTATATAGGTTAGGTCACCAATATTACTAATTATAAGAGATTAGACAAATATAAGATGTCTTTCTATTCTTTCTAGAAAAGAGACCACTCGTGTAGCCATTTACTAAGTTATACAATCAAAATATCAAATATATCCCTCCCTAATTAATACGAAGTACTCCATATACCACGTAAGAAGTACTCCGTATTATACTACTACTGCAGTAATACGTACACACTGTTGTATCATTCTTAGAAAAATGTCCCAAACAATTATGGTTACCCAATGTGCAAATCCAACCAATTAAACTTATGTGAACGATCAATCATAATTATTCGACCCATCTAATTACAGTTACCCAATTTGTTGTCCAGTTATAGTTACCCGACCCGTCGTCCAGTTACAGTTACCCGACTCGTCGTCCAGTTACAGTTACCTGACCCATCGTCCAGTTACAGTTACCCGACTCGTCGTCCAGTTATAGTTACCCGACCCATCGTCCAGTTACAGCTACCCGACCCGTCGTCCAGTTACAGTTACTCGACCCGTCATCCAGTTACAGTTACTCGACCCATCGTCGGGTAACAATTACTAGGATATACAGATTACTAATTACATTACTCGGTTCGATAGTGATACGCGTTAGCCACCACCGCCGATAGCCCGACAACCATCGATGGCCACCACTCCCAACCACCACCGGCAACCGCCATGACCGGCCATCATGACAGTGACCAAGCCTATAGTGACTTCCGCCCATGATCAATTGATATAGTGACTCCCGCCTGCCCATTCAGTGACCGAGGCCCGCCCGTCCAGTGACCAACATCCCCTTCCAGTGACCACCGCCCACCCGTTCTAGTTACCACCGCCCATCCATTAACCACCGCTCCACCCGTTCAGTTACCACCACCTGTAGAGTGACCGCCACTGCCGCTTGCACCTGCCCCTCCCAGCCCCAGCCGCCATCATAGCACCCCCACCAGCCCCTGCCCCACCACCTGCCCAGACCCAGCCTCGGCCTCAACCCCAGACCCAGACCAAGACCAACCCCAAACCCCAGCCCCAACCCAATCTCAGCACCAGACCCAGACCCCAAACCCACCCCACCCCCTTCACAGCCCCCCTTCACAGCCCGAACCCCAACCCCAAACTCAGCCCCAGACCCAGACCAACCCCAAACCCAGCTCCAGTCCCAGACCCAGACCCAGACCAACCCCAAACCCAACCCCAACCCCATACCCAGCCCAGATCCAGCCCCCTCCCCAACCTCTCATCCCCGCGCCTCACCCCCAAACCCCCGTCCCCACTCCCGCCACCTCCCCTTGCGTCTTCCCAAAGCCCTGTCCCAACCCTTGCTCTCACGTTTGCCGGACGAGAAGTTGTGTTTGTCTCCACCATCGGAAAGAAAAAGAAGATCGAGTGGTGTAGGGCGATGGAGAGAAGATCCGGCGAGGCACACGGCGGTGGTGGTGGAGATGTTCCGGTTGGCGGCGATGAGGGGTTCTTCCAATGAGACCTGCGATGCAGAAGAATACTGGTCCTTCCAAGTGAGGCCAATTTTAGATTTGAGGGCATTTTGGTCTCTGAAGTGTTTTTTGCTCTCTTTTTTGTCCATACAGGAATGAGGTTTTATTTTTGTAAAGTGTAAAGCCCATGGTCTTACTTTTGTCCTTCCATGGTCTTATTTCTGCTTACATTTTTTTATTACTTGCATTGTGTTTGTACCCATGTTAACATATTTGTTATAATTTAATATTTGTTATATTTTAAGATGGAACAAGGTAGACATTTTGTGGATATGGGTAACCTCCAACGCAATCGAAAGGAGATTGGGAAGAACCATCATAATTCGCGCAAAGGAAAAGGACATATTGAGTTTTCTTCTCAAAGTCGAGATGATTTTGAAACGATGTACGACTGGAGAGATGCGATGTCCGACGCGCAACTACAACAACTCTTGGCCCAATGGGGTGGGCGGTTTTACCAACCACTAGACACTCCCAATATTGAGGAAGAGCTCGAGGATGAGGATGCCGAGGATGATGATCCGGCAACGGTCGAGGACGAACAAGACGACTCTCAAACCCTGAACGATGACACCCCCGACGAGGACGAGCCTCATTCATCCCATACCGGTAAGAGAAATGAATCCCTCCGTATGAAAACTAATTTCAAAAAGTGGAAGGAAACAAATGGAGACAAGTGGTGGACAACTTGCAACCATGGTAGAAAAAACACAAGCTTGAGGATTTCATAAGGTGATAGAGTATATGGGCTTAGACCCCATGATCCACATACTCAGGAGGTCAAAGACACCAGGTAGACGTCCACGTTGCAGCCTTCGGCCAGGTGGGTTCCGCATCAGAAAAGCTGACTGGAGTGCTATCTGAAGACAAAAGCGGGTCACCATCGGTCGTGGACCGCATCGGCCAGGGTCTTCCCCTGACTGATTGTATTTTACTATCTTTTTTACTAAGTATTGTACTCAACCCATTAGAGGCCTTATTCCGCCCAAAGAAGGCATGATTATTGTAATGGGCCTCCTAAGCTCAAGGCTAGGAGCCCAAATCCACATTTACTCCTATAAATAACCCCCAAGGGGGTAGTTATAGGGAGTTGAGAAAAATTAATTGCTCACTTTCTCTCTCTAGCTCTCACTTTTCTCTAGAATTAAATAATCTATCACAAGGATAAACGACGCTCATAGGCATGTCAAGGCTCATCACCTCGTGGAGCATGCGAAACTAAAAGACAAGGGGACACAAACACAAATATAGAGGTTTGCAAATGCCCTACCCTACAGTAATTCCTCTTATGAGATGATTCCAAACATTTAACTGCGATGTCTGATTGTTGAAAAAACAATTCTTTTTTTCCCTGAAAGTCTTGCTTTACAAGTTTATGTTCAAGGTTCTTTAAGTCCCCAATTTCGAAACTATAATCACAAAACAGTTACTCCATAAAAATGAAGTTATAAGGTTTTGCAAAGGATAGATTAAAAATGTTGTTTGGTAAAGGGAAAAGATATCAATACACGAAGTACTTTTTATGTTAACTTTAAGGTGCACATATGCCCCTAAGGTTGAGAAAGGTACAAAAATATCCTTAAGATTTATATTTAGTAGGAAATTACTCTTGCTACCTTAAAAAAACAAAAAAAAAAAAATTATTGAATATATTGGGTTTTGAAAATGTAAACTAAAAAATTTAAAAATCCGTTTCGTTGAAATTTTTAAATCAAAATTTAATTTAATATTATTAAGATTTAAAGAAACCATTGAATACGAAATGATTCTTTAATATTTCAATTTCTCCACACATTTTTTAATACTTCGGGGCAAAAGATATAATTTACATGTTAAAGTTTTATAATATTTCTCTTATGTGAACCATATTAAATTATAATAAAAATATTAAAAGAACCCTCCGAATATATTTTTATTAATTGAAGGACAAATTTGTTTTTAAGTATGAAATTTTGAACTTTAGGAACATATCTCTAGGTAGACCTAAACATTTAGTTGCACCGGTCAACATTTCACATTTGACAACGCACATCTTTGACTGTTAATATATCTTATTCTCTA